ATCACTGCTATACATCACTATATTGTACTATACAATTATATTGTAATATTATTAGTAATAGCACATGTAATATAAAATATATAATTATAATATCATATCATTATTATTAGTATTATACTGTATTACATTATAATATTATAAATATTATATGTATATACAATATATTATATCATATTATATTATATACTAGCTGTCCCCTGCCACGCGTTGCTGTTGCCCAGTCTAGTGATCTGGAAAATAAAGTAATGAGAAAGTGTTGGTTTCTATTATATGTAATTCCTTTATGCTTGTGAGTAAACAGTATTTCTTGTTGTTTCTTTGTCAGTGTTGATGTGGAGAGTGTCTGGTTTGCCTACTCTGGAATATGCAACATATCATAGTCCTTCTTTAAGGGTCTCTTTCAAATCTATGATACTATATCTGTGTGTGTGTGTGTGTGAGAATCATATCTACCTATCTATATTTATGACTGGATGGCTCTTTGTCAGGAGGGCTCTGATTACATTTTCTTGCCCTGGTGAAGAGAGTTGGACTGGATGGCCTAAAGCAGTGGTTCTCAACCTGGGGTCCCCAGATGTTTTTGGCCTTCAATTCCCATAAATCCTAACAGCTGGTAAAGCTGTTAGGGCTAGGATTTCTGGGGGTTGTAGGCCAAAAACATCTGGGGACCCCAGGTTGAGAACCACTGGCCTAAAGTATTTTCTGTTGGTCATGGGGGTTCTGTGTGGGAAGTTTGCCCCATTTCTGTCGTTTGTGGGTTTCAGAATGCTCTTTAATTGTAGTGAACTATAAATCCCAGTAACTACAAATCCCAAATGTCAAGGTCTATTTCCTCCAAACTCCATCTGTGTTCATATTTAGGCATATGGAATTTTTGTGTCAAGTTTGGAACCAGATCCATCATTGTTTGAGTCCACAGTGCTCTCTGGATATGGGTGAACTATAACTCCCAAACTAAAGGTCAATGCCCACCAAACCCTTCCAGAGTGTTCTGTTGGTCATAGAAGTCCTGTATGCCATGTTTGGTTGAATTCCATCATTGGTGGAGTTCAGAATGATCTTTGATTGTAGGTAAACTATAAATCCCAGCAACAACAATTCCCAAATGACAAAATCATTTTTTTTGAGTGGAGGACATAAATTGGACTGTTAGGTGTCTTGTGTCCAAATTTGATGTCAATTCCCCCAGTGGTTTTTGAGTTCTGATGGTAGCACAAACTAACATTACATTTTTATTTATATAGATTAGCATAGCACAGGAGACAAGGTGGAACTGTCCCCTGGCCTCCTCTGTCTTCACTCTGGCTCAGAGCAGTGGTTGATGCTGGGGGAAGGGGTCTCCAACTGATGACATATGCAGGAGACAAGATGGAATTGTCCCCTGGCCTCCTTTGTTCTCACTCTGGCCCAGAGCGGCGGTTGGTGGTGGTGGTGGGGGTCTCCAACTGATGACATATCCAGGAGACAAGAATACAAGGAATACCGGGAGTTGAAGGCTACATTTCAGAGGAAGCAGCAGATGATTCCATGCCTAAGAAAATGTGTCCAGAGGAGGGCGCCTAAAATGATCAAGGGTCTGGAGACTTGTTTTTCCAGTTTGAAGGCCACATTCCAGATACTCTGTTTTGGGTATGTCCAGTTGAAGTCAATGCTCACTGTCACTGAATGTCTGCTGCTGTCGTTGGAGGGCTGCACGCTTTTGGTGGCTGAGTGCTATGTTATCTGCATATAGGATTGTCTGGGGATGCATAGCCTGCAAATCCATTGTAGCAGTGTCAATGCAGAGTATAAATAGTAGTGGTGAGAGTACTGATTCCTGATGCACGCCAAGAGTGATGTTAAAGGGTGGTGAAATCTCCACAGGACAGCGGACCATACATGTATTATTGTATAGTAGCTTTATCCATGTTACATAGTCTTCTGGTATTCTTTGTGACTGTAGTGCTCGCCAGATACACACACACATACACACCCCACTCCTCTGAGGATGATTGCCATAGATGCAGGTGAAACGTCAGGAGATAATGCTTCTAGAACATGGCCATATAGCCATATAGACCGAAAAACCGACAACAACCCAGTGATTCCAGCCATGAATACTATATATATATATATATATATATATATATATATATATATCTCCCTGTTGTTGTTGTTTTTTCTTTTTGTCATGTCAGGAGCGACTTCAGAAACTGCTAGTTGCTTCTGGTGTGAGAGAATTGGCCGCCTGCAAGGACGTTGCCCAGGGGACGCCAGGATGATTTGATGTTTTTATCATCCTTGTGGGAGGCTTCTCTCATCAGCCTCTCCCCTGTGATAACTTTCGTAAATAATACAAAATCGTAAATAATATATATATATATATATATATATATATATTTATTTATTTACTTCATTTGTATACCGCCATTCTCAGCCCTAAGGCGACTCATAGCGGTTTACAACAAGCAAAAACAAGGCAAACAATCAAGGCAAAAATTCAATGCGGCATCAACAAGGTACTTAAAAACAGTTAACACAGAAGCAAATTAAACAATTTAACAGTAATAAACATTCAGTGGTGTCTCATAACTAGAATCATGATCCAAACTCGTCAGTCGTAGTTCCATTTCCTGAAATTCATTGCACTGCTTATTCAAACGCCTGTTCAAATAACCAGGTTTTCACTTTCCTCCGGAATACCATCAATGAGGGGGCCAATCTGATGTCCGTGGGAAGGGTGTTCCACAGCCGAGGGGCCACCACCGAGAAGGCCCTGTCTCTCGTCCCCGCCAGGCGTGCCTGTGAGGCAGGCGGGATCGAGAGCAGGGCCTCCCCGGACGATCTCAAAGTCCTCGTGGGCTCATAGGGAGATGCGGTCAGATAGGTACCTTGCATAGAACATGTAATATTACTAATAATTACAATATAATGGTATAGTACAATATAGTAATATTTAATACTGATGTTTACTATGCTAATAATATAATATATTGTATGTATATATATCTTGTAAGCCGCTCTGAATCCCCTTGGTAAATAAATAAATTAAGTAAATATATCTTACGAAAGAATTGCAAGATGAATGAGATGGATTGGAAAAAAATCATAATCAAGGGACAGAAAAAAGAAAGGTGCCACTCTCTATAAAAAGAGAGAAAGGTTAATAATACACACACACACAAATAATAATAAAAATGATGAACTGCTATGAACAAGAATGGAAATCAAATTCACACTCTTTTTCTTTTTATTCTACCTTTAGATTTATATATATAATATTTTCTTTTCTCTCTCTTCTTCTTCTTTCCTACTATCCTATCAGTGCATTGTTCCCCCACTTTCCATGTGAAAACATATACTTTCTATATATTTTTTCTCTTTTTCTTTTTCTTTTACATTCAACTAGAAAAAAGTAAATATAATATTGCTGTTATTTATTGTTTCAGATAATAACACATCTGGGCATCCCCTGGGCAATGTCTGATTCTTTCACACCAGAAGCAACTTCCATTATACTACTGCTGTTGAAATTATATCAAACTTCTATAACTGTGCTGTGTAGAATCGCACACAATCTCCAAGAACTTATACTAAAATATGTAGGTTAAAAGTAGCAGGAGGGGTTTTTTTTTTATCTTCTCCGCTTTCTCCACCCTTTCTTTTTGTTTGGCTCATCTACACTACCCTATAATACCATTTGCATTATACGGTCAGTGGAGATTCATATAATGCAGTTTAATTGCATTGAATTGCATTATATAAGTCTTCACTATTTATTTATCGTGTCATCAGCAACCATACCATTGTGTTACAATTCTAACAGAACAAAACAAACACAAAGATTAAAAAGAAAAAAAAAAACAGATTTTGCAAACTTGGTAGTTGGTTAAATGTCCTTTGACCAGTATCTGGCCACTTGGAGTGCCTCTGGTGTTGCCGCAAGAAGGTCCTCCATTGTGCATGTGGCAGGGCTCAGGGTGCATTGCAGCAGGTGGTCAGTGGTTTGCTCTTCTCCACACTCGCATGCCGAGGATTCCACTTTGTAGCCCCATTTCTTAAGATTGGCTCTGCATCTCGTGGTGCCAGAGCGCAGTCTGTTCAGCGCCTTCCAAGTCGCCCAGTCTTCTGAGTGCCCAGGGGGGAGTCTCTCATCTGGTATCACCCATGAATTGAGGTGCTGGGTTTGGGCCTGCCACTTTTGGACTCTCGCTTGCTGGGGTGTTCCAGCGAGTGTCTCTGTAGATCTTAGAAAACTATGTCTTGATTTAAGTCGTTGACGTGCTGGCTGATACCCAAACAGGGGATGAGCTGGAGATGTCTCTGCCTTGGTCCTTTCACTATTGGCTGCTACTTCCCGTCGGATGTCAGGTGGTGCAATACCGGCTAAGCAGTGTAATTTCTCCAGTGGTGTGGGGCGCAGACACCCTGTGATAATGCGGCATGTCTCATTAAGAGCCACATCTACTGTTTTGGTGTGGTGAGATGTGTTCCACACTGGGCATGCATACTCAGCAGCAGAGTAGCACAGCGCAAGGGCAGATGTCTTCACTGTGTCTGGTTGTGATCCCCAGGTTGTGCCAGTCAGCTTTCGTATGATATTGTTTCTAGCACCCACTTTTTGCTTGATATTCAGGCAGTGCTTCTTGTAGGTCAGAGCACGGTCCAAAGTGACTCCCAGGTATTTGGGTGTGCTGCAATGCTCCAGTGGGATTCCTTCCCAGGTAATCCTCAGAGCTCGGGGTGCTTGTCTGTTCTTAAGGTGAAAGGCGCATGTCTGTGTTTTAGATGGGTTAGGGATCAGTTTAGATGGATTAGGGATCAGTTGGTTGGAAGAAGTCTTCACTGATTACATTACATGGCAGTGTAGATGGGGCCTGAGATACTCTGGAGCGTCTAATCGGGAATCGGAAGTGTAGGGGCGAGCAGTGTTGGTGAGGCAGTTCCCTAAAGAGGAAGCTACACTGAAACAATTTGCCCTTTTCAAGGCCTTGTACCAGCCATATTGGTTAAGGGCAAGAAAAAGGCAGGAAGTTGGCGCCGCGCATGCGTAGTTGTGGGAATGTGGATGCCGGCGAAGGGGAAAATGGCGGTGGAAGGGCCCGAGCAGGTAGGGAGATCCTTAGAGCTGCTTAGACATTCCTCATCTGGATGGTGGGAGAAGGGCATCAAATCATATTTGATTGTATTTGGTAACAGGACTTTATTGTCTGGGGAAGGATGGATTGCTATAAAGCTTGCATTTAAAAACAGTAATGGTTTGGGTGATGACATGACTCAGTGCCATTGATTCCTGGGCGTTATAGTTGATTGAGGAACCAGTGGAAAGGACTAAAGACCTTGTAAAACTACAGCTCCCACGGTTCCATAGCATTGAAGTGGTTAAAGTGGTGTCAAACTGGTAATTATGCAATATAGATGAGCCTGGGAAGCCTGTGTTCGAATCCCAGCAAGGAAATCCTTAGATGAGGTACACTCTCTCAGCCTCATAGAAAGGCCAAGACAAACCCATCTTTGGCTAATTCTCTCCAAGAAAGCCTCTTGATAGGGCCACCATAAGCCAGAAATAAGCCAGAAGCCCTCGGTGGTGCAGTGGGTTAAACCCCTGTGCCGGCAGGTCTGAAGACCAACAGGTCGCAGGTTCGAATCCGGAGAGAGGCGGATGAGCTCCCTCTATCAGCTCCAGCTCCTCGTGCGGGGACATGAGAGAAGCCTCCCACAAGGATGATAAAAATATCAAATCATCCGGGCGTCCCTTGGGCAACGTCCTTGCAGACGGCCAATTCTCTCATACCAGAAGCGACTTGCAGTTTCTCAAGTTGCTCCTGCCATGATTTAAAAAAAAATCCAGAAATGACTTGAAGGCACACAGTAAGACAAATAGAAAAGATGTGGGCTGCCAGGTCATTGGAACAGGTCACTGTTCCAGTGTGCCTTCCTTGAATAAAGGAAACAATGCCCTGCTCTGACCAATTCCCTGCAAAATATCCTCAGAAGCACTTTAACTACCCGTTGGGTTGATCTCCCTACATTATTCTTTAAAAACCTCCTGCTTAGATACATCCTGCCTCTGTTCGGGCCCAGTGTTTATTGTGAAATTTTAGTCTGTTACATCTGGCCCGGACATAGGTTTTAAATTTTTGTGTGTTACTGCTTATATGTGAGTTATATTAATTGTACTGTTTTATTTGCATGCTACTTTGTTGTTTTACTGATATTTTTTTGTCGTGTCAGGAGCGACTTGAGAAACTGCAAGTTGCTTCTGGTGTGAGAGAATTGGCCGTCTACAAGGACGTTGCCCAGGGGACGCCCTGATTATTTGATGTTTTTATCATCCTTGTGGGAGGCTTCTCTCATGTCCCCGCATGTGGAGCTGGAGCTGGTAGAGGGAGCTCATCCGCCTCTCCCAGGATTCGAACCTGCGACCTGTTGGTCTTCAGACCTGCCGGCACAGGGGTTTAACCCACTGCGCCATTGGGGGCTCCTGTTTTACTGATGTGTTGTTGGGTTTGGCCTCATGTAAGTCGCCCCGAGTCCCCTTGGGGAGATGGTGGCGGGGTATTATTATTATTAACTTTATTTATACCCCGCAAAATCTCCCGAAGGACTCAATGCGGCTTACAAAGGCCAAGGCCGCTGCCAACAACAACATACAAATATAACAGTAAAACTCATAAGCAAATAATAAAAATCAAGCAAAATCAATAAAACGCTAAAACAATGACACCATGACGCATTTAAAATCTAAAGGCCGGGCCAAATGTAATGGACAAAATTTAAAAGTGCTGAACTTGACAGGAGGTATGTAAAGGTTTTTTGGAGGTAGATGCAATGTGCAGACAATCCTGGTCTCTAACAAAGTGCATTTGGGACATGATGCCAGGAGTTTCCTAATCTGGAAAGGCACACTGGAGCAGCCAGGTCTTCAGGCTCTTCCTAAAGATTGCCAACGTTGGGGCTTGTCTGATGTCCCTGGGGAGAGAGTTCCAGAGTCGGAGGGCCACCACAGAGAAGGCCCTGTCCCTCGTCCCCACCAAACGCGCTTGTGACACAGGTGGGTTCGTGAGCAGGGCCTCTCCAGATGATCGAAGGGAACGCATGGGTTCATATATGGAGATGCGGTCACGCAGGTAGGCGGGTCCCAAACCGTTTAGGGCTTTGTAGATGAGCACCTGCACCTTGAATTGGGACCGGAAGATGAACGGCAGCCAATGGAGCTCCTTAAACAGGAGGGTTGACCTCTCTCTGTAAGGAGTGCCAGTTAACAGCCTGGCCATCGACCACTGGTATAAATAAAGTTTTATTATTATTATTATTATTATTATTATTATTATTATTATTACCACTGTCAGATCGCCCTCATCTTATGGGAACTCTGTGAAAAAGAGACCGTTCAAGTTACTGTGTCCTTGGGTCCTGCAAACTCAGGGCCTCGATTTTCATGATTGAGTCCTTCCATCTAGAACAGTGGTTCTCAACCTTTGGGTCCCCAGATGTTTTGGCCTTCAACTCCCAGAAATCCTAACAGCTGGTAAACTGGCCGGGATTTTTGGGAGTTGTAGGCCAAAAACATCTGGGGACCCCAGGTTGAGAACCACTGATCTAGAATGTGGTCTTTGGCCCCTTCCACACAGCTGAATAAAATCCCACAATTTTCTGCTTTGAACTGGAATATATGGCAGTGTGTGCACAGATAACCCAGTCCAAAGCAGATATTGTGGAGTTTTTCTGCCTTGATGTTCTGGGATATCGGGCTGTGTGGAAGGGCCCTTCCACTTTTCCTACTGCCTTCACTTTATTACAGACAATCCCTGAGTTACAAATGACTCATAGTTAAGAACAGGGGTGAGACAACTGGAAATGGGAGAAATCTACCTTTCCGGAGGGAAATTCACTCCTGGAAGAGTGATCTTGGGGAAAAGTAGTTTCCACTGAAGTTTTATCGCCAATCCTTGTTTCCACAACAATACAGTTTTTTCAAAATCGATGTTTAAGCTATTCGAGCAGAAATGGAAATGAACAGAACTGTATATTTTAGCCAATGGTAAATTTGTGTGAAGTCCAAAGGAGTGGATTATTGACAGTATAGGATAGAAATATCACAGGTACAGAAAGTGAGGTGAAACCTTTTGAACATGGAAACAGACAACAAAGCAAACTCCATAGGGGTGTTAATCCTGACCTACTCTATCCAAAGCAGGCATACACTTAAAAAAAACCTGTTCCAACTTACATACAAATTCAACTTAAGAACAAACCTACAGAATCTATCTTGTTTTTAACTTGGGAACTGCCTGTATTGTGTTTTCTAGTGAGCCATATTTTCTCATTATATGGCCAAAGTATGGCCGTCTTGGTTAAGTCACTTTGGCATCTAGGGAGAGCCCAAGCTTTGTTTTCTCCAGCATTCCTTTATTGGTCTTTTTGGCAGCCCAAATTGTCTGCAAAACCTTCTTCCCAACACCACATTTCAAATGAGTTGGTTCCCTTCCTATCAGCTTTGTTTCCATGCTTTCATTTGAGCAACCCCCAGAACTTTCTGCCTTCTCGATATTAGATTACAACTGTTATGGTCATGGCTGAGAATAGTGGGACTTTTAGTCTCCTTTGGGACACTGCCTGGTTGGAGAAGGCTGTTTGAGGCCCCATCTACACTGACATATAAAATCCAGATGATCTGCTTTGAATTGGATTATATGGCAGTGTGGACTCACATAATCCAGTTCAAATCAAATAATCTGGATTATCTGCTTTAATACTCTGGAGTATATGGCAGTGTAGATCCAGTCTGAGAGATGGGATTTGAAACAAGTGAGAATTACTTCTTTCAAAGCCTACCTCTCACATAGAGACACAAAGATTTTCTTCATAACATATTTTTTTTCATAATATATTTATTTGTGAATACCAAAACATAAAAGAATGCACACAAGATTGTACATTTTGAGCTGCCGCGCATTTTCACAATGTTGAAATCAATCACTTCATTGTTCAGGTGGGTCTTCAGAGTCTGTCAATGTTGAATATAGATTTGTTATGAGGCACATATCCTAAAGAGAGAGGTTACTGTCTTATGGACCAGGGAGAAGTGTAACACTGTAATTGTAGGGAGCAGGGAAGGGCTTATACATAAAAATGGAATTGTGTCTTCTTTCTTGAGTTGTTCTTTTCTTCTCATCACATCTTTCTTTGGCAGATGGAGCTAGATGAGGGAAAGGGTGGAACTGGTCTGCGCCAGTATTACCTGTCCAAGATTGAGGAGCTACAGGTAAGATATTTATGCTGCCTGGAGTTGAGATGTATGCTTAGAATTATTGTATTTTAATTGCTTCCTCACAGGCATGCTTTTCTTACATTTCTGGGGAACACACGGTGTAGTTGAAATTGGCTAATATAGAGAGCTTAATTAGGTTGGGCTTGCCTGGCTATCCTATCTTAATACCCCCCTGATGTGTTAGAATCATAGAGTTGGAAGAGACCACATGTGTCATCTAGTCCAACCACCTGCCATGCTAGAAAAGTACAATCAGGGTACCCCTGACAGATGGCCATTCAACTTCTGTTTAAAAGCCCACAAGGAAAGAGCTTCCACTACACTGTGAGGCAGAGAGTTCCACTGTTGTGCAGCTCCCACACTCAGGAAGTTCTTCCTAATGTTGAGGTGGAATTTCCTTACCTGTAATTGGAACCCATTCCTCTGAGTCGTAGTCTCTAGGGCAGCAGAAACAACCCTTCTCCCTCTTCCTTATGACAGCTTTTCACATATTTATACATGGCTATCATGCCTCCCTGTTCTCCACAGGTAGCAAGGCCACTAGTTTGGAGGAGTTCTAGATCATCTAACCTTATATCCCGTGTGTGTGTGTGTGTGTGTGTGTGTGTGTGTGTGTATATATATTTCTATAGTGGTTCTACCGTCTAGCGGTTGTTTAAATGCTGCTCTTACGCTTACGTCCTATAGATGAAGGTGGGCATGTATTCCAAAGATCAATCGAAGTGGTTTTGACATAAACTAATAATGTTTCCATTTTCCTAGGAAAGGATATACAGTTGGCCCTCCACATTTGCAGGCTTAAATTTTACAGATGTGATTATTCACTGATTAATATGGTATCGCCTAGGGATATCTAGTCCCTTTGGTGAATATAGAGAGCTAACTGTATGCTTAAATCTCTTCCTCTGTACATAAAAGGTGTATCTGCCAACCCAAAGAAATCCAAGACTCTGAGGAAAGGAAAGAGCAATACAGGAAAAAGGTTTTTTAACTAGGCCAGGACAAAATAGTGATGTGCTAATAGACATTTGCATCGGGTTAGGTCATAGTGGTGCTTCCCTCTTGGGACTGAGGTAGCACAGTATCTCTTGGTTCCCAACTAGTGCCAGGATACAGCTGACAGTTGGTGAAAAAATCAAAACATGTAGTTGCTTATTCTCTACTTGGTATCAGCAATTTGACAGGTCTTGCTGTTGTAAGCTTAGTGTTTTGTTTTGGTTTTTTTTCATGTCAGGAGCGATTTGAGAAACTGCAAGTCACTTCCGGTGTGATAGAATTGGCTCTCTGCAAGGATGCTGCCCAGGGGATGCCCGGATATTTTACCATCCTGTGGGAGGCTTCTCTCATGTTCACACATGGGAAGCTGGAGCTGATAGATGGGAGCTCATCCGGCTCCCCAGATTCGAACTGCTGACCTTTTGTTCAGCAGTTCTGCCGGCACACGGGTTTAACCCATTGTGCCATTGAGGGCTCCTTTGTAACCTTAGTGAATTCACATTCTTGTTGTGCTGTTTGGATGATTTCTTACCTATTTTCCTTTTCTCCTCCCAAGTTGATAGTCAACGATAAGAGCCAGAACCTCAGACGGCTACAAGCTCAGCGGAATGAACTCAATGCTAAGGGTAAGTTGGCAACAACTTGGGGGTAATTGGATGTGCACACAAATACCTTGAGAGTTGGACAATAATTAGGACATAGATTTAGCAATGTGAAAAAGTGGCAGAAAGGATGAAAAATGCTGCGGGAAGATGTTTGCCTTTTCTCCCTTGGCATCCACCATGTTATATTTAAATAAATAATGCAGGAGGAAAGTTTAATAAATTCTGTTTTATCTCATTGAAAAGACGAGTAGAAAAATGTGTGACCTGCTTTCTAAAACAATTTAAAAATAATTATGTTAGTAGCATCTTTCTCAAACTGGCTTTTAAGAGGTAAGAGAATTGAAAATATTAGATCATTGAAGTATGTGTATGCGAAGTGAATATTTTACTCCATTTAGAAAATGAGTTATTTTTCAGTTAGTAAAAAGATTTCTGTTAATGGAAAATATATTATTTTCCTTACAGCTTTTGTATTTTTTGTAGAGAGAAACAGATTTGCATTCTCATTAACAAGCCCAAATACTAATGACATTTTGTTTCCTTCTTACTCAGTTCGCCTGCTTCGTGAAGAGCTTCAGCTTCTGCAGGAGCAGGGTTCGTATGTGGGTGAAGTGGTGAGGGCAATGGACAAAAAGAAAGTGCTTGTCAAGGTACGGCTATTGTTTGGCAAACCTGTATCAGACCCTTGCCTCTGTCATTTGAGTCAGTTGAGTGGGAAGGGAGAGAATCTTGAACACATCTTGGTAGTTCTGGATTGAGGGCAATTTATCATTCTTACATGCCATCAAGGTGATTTCAATTTAGGCTTTGCTTGGCAAGTTTTATTCAGAGGAATTTTCCCTTAGGCTTAAAGACTGTGACTTGCCTAAGACTTTCCTATGGGTTTCCATGGCTGAACAGGGTTTGAACCTTTGCCTTTCACAGTCATAGTCCAACACTCAAACTACTGCACTACCTGGCTCTCTTGAATGTAATTAGTTTTGGGTTTTTTTGTCATGTCAGGAGCGACTTGAGAAACTGCAAGTTGCTTCTGGTGTGAGAGAATTGGCCGTCTGCAAGGACGTTGCCCAGGGGACACCCGGATGTTTTGAAGTTTTGCCATCCTTGTGGGAGGCTTCTCTCATGTCCCCGCATGGAGAGCTGGAGCTGATAGAGGGTGCTCATCCGAACCTGCGACCTGTCGGTCTTCAGTCCTGCCGGCACAGGGGTTTAACCCACTGCACCACCGGGGGCTCCTAATGTAATTAGTGATATGATTAAGTAGTATATTTGAATGGTTACAATATTAATATTGTTTACAGTTCAGGTTATTTCTTTATTGCCTCAGAAGCGAATTGAGAATACAGTTACAATGTTTAAAAAGCACAAAGTTAAAAACTTGGCATTATGCTAAATTTCCTTTACCAGAAGCTGGTCATTTCAAGTTCCTCTGGTGTCACTGTAAAAAGGTCCTCCATTGTGCATGTGGCAGGGCTCAGAATGCATTGTAGTAAGTGGGCTGTGGTTTGCTCTTCTCCACACTTGCATGTCATGGACTCCACTTTGTAACCCCACTTGTTAAAATTAGCTCTGCATCTTGTGGTACCAGAGCAGAGTCTGTTCAGTGCCTTCCAAGTCGCCCAGTCTTGTGTTTACCCAGGAGAGAGTTTCTCATCTGGTTTCAGCCACTGATTGAGGTTCTGGGGCTTAACTTGTCACTTTTGGTCTCCCGCTTGCTGAGGTGTTCCTGCGAGTATCTTAGAAAGCTGTTTCTTAATTTAAGATGTTGGCATACTGGCTGATATCTGAACAGACGATGGGTCAGAGATGTCACTGCCTTGGTCTTTTCATCGCTGCCTGCTACTTCCCGACGGATATCAGGTGGTGCAGTACTGGCTAAACAGTATAATTTCTCCAGTGTTGTAGGGCATAGACATCCTGTGATAATGTGGTATGTCTCATTAAGAGCCACATCTACTGTTTTAGACTGGTGAGATGTATTCCACACTGGACATGCATATTCAGTTGCAAAGTAGCAAAGTGCAAGGGCAGATGTCTTCAGTGTATCTGGCTGTGATCCCCAGGTTGTGCCAGTCAGCATTCGTATGATGATATTTCTAGCACCCGCTTTTTGTCAGATTATTCGTAAAGGTTTAGGGGGAGAAATTTTTAGGGAATGTGTGCCACTAAATTTTTATGTTGGCTCATTCTCTGTTCATGCTTCTTGTCCTCTGTTTTCATGGTGGTAACTTGTCCTCCTCCATCCTAGGTTCACCCAGAAGGAAAGTTTGTGGTTGATGTGGATAAAAACATAGACATCAATGATGTGAGTACCTGTTGAGCTATGTCTAACCTTTCAGAGGTAGCATTTATTAATTCCCCTCTCCCTATGGGTCTTTTTTAAAAGAGGAGATACAAGGATTCTGCAGTTTACAGCTTGTTCCCTTCTTTACCATTTAGGTGACTCCAAATTGCCGTGTTGCCTTGCGGAACGATAGCTACACTCTCCACAAAATTCTTCCAAATAAGGTGGACCCCTTGGTGTCGTTGATGATGGTTGAGAAAGTGCCAGACTCCACTTATGAGATGATCGGTGGGCTTGACAAGCAGATCAAAGAAATCAAGGAAGTGATTGAGCTCCCTGTCAAACATCCAGAGCTCTTTGAAGCCTTGGGCATTGCTCAACCCAAGGTAAGTACTTCAGAATGTTTGCCTGTCTAGGATAAATAGCTCTGGTATGCCATCACATTTGGCCAGACTTAATAATTCAGATTAGGTGCTTACTTCTGCTGATCTTAAAAATTACTATATATACTAAAATATAAGCCAATTTTTTCAGCCCCCTTTTTTAAGCTAAAAAAGCCCCCCTCAACTTATTATTTTATTTTATTTATTATTTATTTAAAGCATTTATATTCTGCCCTTATCACCTTGAAGGGGACTCAAGGCGGAGCACAACATATAAATGGCAAACATTAAATGCCAGGACATACTCGAGTTAAAGTTATTTATTAATTTACTTGGTTGTTGTTATTCTTATTATTATTACATTTACATTATTTTCCTCTATTGTTTTTATTACATTTATTATTTTACTCTATTAATGTTATTACATTTACATTATTTTACTCTGTTATTATTGAAAAGATATGTAAGCACATTTACATTGATGAAGGTTAGAATAACGGTTTAATCAGAGTTGGACAATGTTATCTTAAATTACAGTTTTATGTAAATATTCAAAAACATTTAACTGACTGATGTCTCAATTAATGTAATTTTATTGGTTCTATTTTTATTTTGAAATTTATCAGTAGCTGCTGCCTTTCCCACCCTCGACTTGTACTCAAGTCAATATGTTTTTCCAGTTTTTGGTGGTAAAATTAGGTGACCCGGCTTATCTTTGGGTTGGCTTATATGCAAGTATATATGGTATGTGTATGAACAATGAAATTTTATTCCTGGGAAACACAATCATTTTTTTCTTTATTATGCGCCTTCAAATAGTTTCTAACCCTAAGGTAGGCCTACACAGCATTTGGCCCTCCAGATGTTTTGGATTTCATCTCACAGAATTCCTGACCATTGGACAAGTTGCCTGGGGCTTCTGGGAGTTGGGAGTCCCACAGGTTGTGCAAGCCTGCCTTAAGACAAACTTACTGTAGGATTTTCTTGGCAAGATTTGTTCAAAGGAGATTTGCCATTGCTGTCTACTGAGGCTAAGAGAGTGTGACTTGCACAAGGTCACGTTATAGGTTTTCATGGCTGAGCAGGAATTGAAACCCACATTTCCAGGGTCTCCAAAACACTACCATTTTGGTGGCTCATATCCATATAAACTGGAACTTGGACTAATTCATAAGTCATGGATGTGTCTCTGCACAGAAATGCACATCTTCAAACTTGATTGCCCACTCTCTGAGAGCTGTGGTGCCTGTTTTCATGTGACAGTGTTGAAGAAGGGTGGACAGCTTTCTTGCAGATGAATTGACAAGGTGGCATGCTGCTAGATGTTTTTGCTCCTGTTAACTGTATTTAATCCTCCACATTAACATCCCAACTCTTCTTGCAGGGTGTGCTGCTGTATGGTCCTCCTGGTACAGGAAAAACTTTGCTTGCCCGAGCAGTGGCTCATCACACTGACTGTACCTTCATCCGTGTCTCTGGCTCTGAGCTTGTGCAGAAGTTCATTGGGGAGGGTAAGTGAGGGCTAAGGTGGTTGGAGAGCTAACTGTCAGGAACACTTTTATGGGATATCTCAAAACGACTGGTCACATTTTGTATAATATTAAATTGGAATAGTAGAATGTGCCAAACAAGGTTTTGTTCAGCAATTTCTGACTTTTGTGGCCCAGTGCCCTATTTCTACATGGGGATGTCGTTTCAGTAGTGTTGCAATTGAAAGAATGGGGAGATAGATAATCCTTTGGTGTTATCCAGTAGGAGTGTTAATAGTCTTTCAGAAATATAGCTTGAGGTAAATTAGGAGCAAGGAAGGGAAATCAAAACAGAGAATAACCAGACAGTCCTTCTAAGAAAGGATGATGTCTTAGGAGTAAGAGGTGGGTTCAGAGTTATTTCCCCAAGCTGTTGATAGAATTGTTTTAGGTTTAGACCTGTTCCTGGGGTTATTTGGGGCACCAATTCAGAAAATTGCAGTGGGTAGACCCCATCTGCTCTTGTTTCTTAGATATGGTTATCATGATTTTGCTTATGGCCAGGCAGATGTCAGCTGGTATATGGCGTATGTTCTGTATCTCAAAAGCTACAACTGATAAAACTGGTGCCAGTTTTGGAATCAGTAGTCAAATATACCCAGAAACAGGGCTAACATTTAAGGGACCAAAATGTGTGTTGGCCAGTGTTGCTATCTGGTGTGTGTGTGTTTGGGGGGGGGGGGGGGTTCTTGTAGTCAAAGGGCCAAATTCATTCTTGGAGAACTTTTTAAAAGGCTCACTTACCAATGGTGAGCAAAGCCAAAAGCAAAAAGTGGCCCTGGATATTTATTTATACTACCATGCTTTCATTTTCTTGCTAATACTAAGTTTAATCTTAAGAGGGACATTTTATCTTTTTACAAATGTATACCAGATATAAGAAGCCACCCTAAAACAGTGTCATGGGAAGCTCAGAGGGCTAAACTGGGACTGAGGTGCCCCAGCTCCCCTGAAACCAGTGTTCTTTTGTTTGTTTTGTGGCGGCAGGAGCAAGGATGGTGCGCGAGCTCTTTGTCATGGCCCGGGAGCATGCTCCCTCCATCATCTTCATGGATGAGATCGATTCCATTGGTTCCTCCCGCCTGGAGGGGGGCTCTGGAGGGGACAGCGAGGTGCAGCGCACAATGTTGGAACTCCTTAACCAGCTGGATGGATTTGAGGCCACAAAGAACATAAAGGTATTCTCTCCCAGCACAATGTGGATTATGCAAAGTAACATACGTAACTTATAAAGGCTATGTCATTTCACTTTTCTTGTTTTTATTTTTTATTATTTGTAAAAGAAATGTACATTTAACAATGGGTCATCCCATTTCTGGCTATAATGTTATGTCACCAACCAATCATGTGTCTCTCAAGAAAAGTAGGGGACAATTGTAGGTTTGGGAATGAGGGATACGAAGTTGTGGATGAGGTTAGGACTTTTATAGGTGCAAAAACGAGCAAGAGATAGCTTCAGAAATATACTTTCCCATTGTCTGCTGATGTTAGATGAATATAGAGGGGGTTGATTGGTCAGAACAATGACTGTTGATTTGTGGTACAATCTGTGTGTCCTGTTTAGGTAATCATGGCAACCAACCGCATAGACATCTTGGATTCAGCTCTCCTTCGTCCTGGTCGCATTGACAGAAAAATTGAATTTCCTCCTCCAAATGAAGAGGTAAGGGAGAGTTGTTGGGGTAGACTAGATACTTTACTTGCTGTTGTAGGCTTTACGCAATTGTTGGTGTAGGGTTTGAGATTTATGTATGCGTTTGTAAGGGGTTGGTTTAACCTCCGGTTTGCTAGTCAAACCGAATTACTGTGTTGTGAAATGATGTATGTCTAAGTGTGTCACCAACATGAAATGTTTGGAAAGCTCTGCTCTAGTTGGTTGTCCTGTGCTGACTGAGGGGTGGGACTCAATAATCTATGGAGCCCCTCCCATTTCTGTGATTTATTAACCCACAGGCCCGGTTGGACATCTTGAAGATTCACTCTCGGAAGATGAATCTTACAAGAGGGATCAACCTGCGGAAGATTGCAGAGCTGATGCCAGGGGCCTCAGGCGCTGAAGTTAAGGTAAAAGCAGTAAACTGGGATAGAAAAGAGGTGCTAAATACAGAGTAGAAAGATCCAACTACTGAGGAATCTTGAGTTCACATTGACTGGGGGTATTTTCTAAAGTTTTTAACTTTAATTTAATAGTGGGGATCTCAAACAGACAAGTGGTTCTTAAATTTTATGTAGTTCCTGCTGTTGTATTTACACATGTAAACATTATTTTGGCATTCTTTTTTACTAAATGGGTTAAGCAAGATCTAAGGGCTATATTTCTAGCTCCAGTGTTGCACCAGCTCCTTTACATAACAATGGATGTAACTTTTGTTGGGTGGACTTTCTGCCAAAACAAGTTGTGAGAAGGGCCTTGGCCATGTCTCAAGACAGGAGCCATGCTCCCACAGGTGTAATTTTCCTGTATCTTTTACAGGGAGACATTTTTCTTCCTTTAGTAGGTGCAAAAATGGCCTAGGAGGGCTGTGTTGTGCTCTGACCCTATTTTTCAATTATCTTCTGTCATAAAAAGATTAATGTGACTGTTGTAAAGAAAGCATAGCATTGCCCGATGATTTCAGAGATATAACTTCCAAGATTTATTGCTTGTGTTAATAGTGGCGTGTTGTATTTAACTATCTGTAGAGGTTACCAAAAACTCTCACTGTGTTAGGCAAAGTTTTGTTATCTTTGGATTGGACAGAAGTCGGCTTTCCTGAATTTTAATGTTTTCTTTGGATTTCTTTCAGGGAGTGTGCACAGAAGCTGGCATGTACGCGCTGAGGGAGAGGAGGGTCCACGTAACTCAAGAAGACTTTGAAATGGCTGTAGCAAAGGTACTGTTGGTTGTGGATATGAAGGACGTATTGTTCTCCTGACCCGGGCGGGGGGGGGGGGGGGACTCTGATAAATAGAAATTAACACCACCATTACTCTTATTACTGCTTCAAAGGCAGCTGGAGGGAAACTACTCAGCAATTTTGTATGACTCATTCTGTGGCAGGGTAGATACTTTCCTCCCTCCATCAGTATCTGTTATGGGTACAATAATAGAAAACAGGTATAGAGGTACATGCAGATTTAAGAAAAGTAATTCATCTTTAGTATTCTGTAAAATCTGGAAATCATTAAAAGTAAACATTACACACAACATGATCCTCGTATCCATGGGGGATGTATTTCAAGATCTGTGGATACCTGAAACAGTAGATAATAGCGCACCCTATATTTTGACTATACTTGGATTGGAAACATACCATAGAATTGCACTGGAGGACCTAAAGAAGCCCACAAACCAGGCAAGGGCAACCTTTGCCCCTCCAGGTGTTTTGGACTTCAACTCCCACAATTCCTAACAGTCCAAAACACCTGAAGGGCCAAAAATTGCCTATGCCTGCCATAAACGGCTGTGGAGGCAATATTTCTTAGAGTGTAGGCGAGTCTAAGTGAAACAATAATAATGAATCTGAGTAAGGGTACCATATAACAAAAACTACCAACACCAAACTTTTTAAAAAAGCACACATTGCTACAAGCAACAAGAATTACCAAACTACAGCTACAAAAACTACAGCTAATCATATAGGAAAAGGATAACTTCAACTATCTTTTCTGCAGTTATATTTTAACCCTTAAAATATCTCTATCTTATCTCTATATATTTAATCTATGTTAATATAACAAATATGTATCAAACCACCCTTCTACCCCACAAAAAGGTGAATTAAGGATTTCCAGTTCTTCAAAAATATTGTTAGTGAGTTTTATAAAATAATTTCCACTTAAGTCCATTTCCACTAAATTGTTACGTTGTAATAGCGAGCCTTTAGTGGGTATTAAAATAGCTTTTCCATTTCTAAGCTGTTCTTGCAGCTGTTGTCATATATGGAAATTCTCTTTCACAGTTCATTTTTAATTGATCATCCATTAATTCCAAAAGAAAATATTCAGGTTTTAATTGGCTATAAATCTTTAAAGATTTTTTTTTGCTTCATTCAATGTGTTTTTACTTTTTCACACTTCCACTACATATGATAAAAATACCTTGCCTGTTACATTTCCAGCATAAATGTAATGATTCTTTATACATTTTTGACCATTTTTTCTGGTGTCATGTACAAATGATACATTATTTATAAAAATTCTCAAGATCATAACAAAAGTAAATTTCAAATGACCATTTTCCACTGCTCTATTAGTATATTTTGTCCAAAATTTCTAGTTAATTTCAAAATGACATCTTTCATTGTTTTGCACATCTCACTTTTTGTCCCTCTCATTGACTGTTGTCATCAGTAGTTGGCCTTTGTAAGGCTTTGATCTACCCATCAGTCTTAATCTTTAAAGGTGATCTATCATTTTTAAAAATCTCATTCAAAATATGTTGAATAATCTTGTATTTTTAAAAGATCTACATTCAGTAAAATAGCCTCTCATAAATGTTAATTCACACCTTAGAACTTTCTAATACCAGTTTTCTTGTCCAATTATCCTCAAAAGATTCATTTTTTTCTTTTAAACATTTATCCACTATCATTTCATTTTGTACAACTGACTCATTTAATCTCCAGTATGAATGGAATGTGGATGGTCATCCAGCTCTGGTAACTTCTTATGTCATTTTAAAGCAGTGCGTGGAAAAATAACTTTTCCAGACATTTCCCAGAATCCTTTAGCATGGCTATGAGAGGATACAGGGAGTTTTATATTTACAGGAAAAGTTCCAAGTAGGTAATTTTCCAAGCTTTGTCTTAAAAGCCACAAGCTATAATTATGGTGGTAGGAAACTTAGAACAAAAATTATTTTTCTCTGTTGCCTTATTATTAATACCTCTTCTCCTTGGCAGGTAATGCAAAAGGACAGTGAGAAGAATATGTCTATCAAGAAGCTCTGGAAATAAAAAGCAGCTGTTGCCCAATCCAGGCGTTTCATGTCTTTGCAGGTCATACATCTCTGCTGTAATATTTACACCCCACTTCACTTTTCCTCTTATTAAAACTGAGTGTTACTAGTTGTGATTCATGATTATTAAGGGGGGAGACATCTTTTTCTAGAATTCTAAATAACCTGAAGAGACTAGATCCCATCTGATTTTGGAAAGTAATCAGGGTCAGCCCTGGTTTATCCTCAGATGGGAGATGGCCAAGACATAGCGGGTGCTGTAGGTTATGTTTCTGAGGTAAAGCTTTTCAGAGTATTAGTTGCCTAAGAAAATATGAAATTCATGAAGTTGCCTTTAGTCAGCAGCCAACATATGTGAAAATACCTCCTTTTTTGGCTGCCACCTAGAAACGGAGCTGTTTAGGATGGAGGTGTTGCTGTTGGTATTGAGGATGAAGGCTATATTTTGAAGCAAAAACCATCTGAAAATTGTTGCCCTAAAGTTAAAAAAATGGAGCGGGGGGGCGGGGGTGAGACTAGCAGGGGATTTGGCAGCTGCAATTCCCCACCCATGCCTTACAAGATGTGTTTCATCTTTCTAAGGCATCAAAACACATGTATTGCATTGTTGTCTTACATAAATGTGAAACACATTGTCTTGGCTGCTGAACACATACCTACAGAGTGTCCAGTTTTGTGCTCAAAGGACCAAGCTAGCTTGAAGGTTCTTTTTCTGAGAAATGCCTGAGCAGCAGTTTGAACACTGCTTCCTATCTTCCAGCAAGTGACAAAGTACTGCAGGGCACATGAGTTAAAACCAGTCTGGTGGTCAGTGAAAAGATTAAACTTTAAAGAAAAAAAGGGGGAAAAATCCTCTTGGGGTCAGTCAAAATTTGTTTTTTCATATGGAATTCCCAGAGAAACAGCAGACATGATATCTTGTATATAACAACAACACATTGTACCGTGATTTTAAGTGTGAAATGCTTACAATAGTTACTTGTATCAGCTTAGTAGATAGGAACATGACAGGAGGTACAAGATCCATGTACTGCTGAGAACTCGTATTCCTTTACTTTCTGATAGATCTATATACTAGAGTTGGGCCCAAATCTCTGTTAATGAAAAGATTTGTAGTTTTCAGAGGGCCGTTTTCATGTAATTTCCCATCACAGAAAGGGGAGAAGAGAGATGAAAAGACCAGTGAAACGAATTCAGAGACTATATTTTCTGAAAGTGTTAAGTCCACAAAATAGGTGGATTTGTGGCATCTTTTTCTCTTCCCGGCAGAAGAAGCCTCTTCTATTTTTTCTTGGAAAGATACCTCCTCCTCCAGAGAGGGCCCTTAGAACTTGCTTTCCCAGTGGCACTTGCATAGGGTGGCCACTGAAAGTTCCTCTTGGAGCATGATAGGAATTGATGATGGGACAGCTTGGTGGTGTCCATGCTCTGATTGGCTGCGAATTGACACAACTAGCAACTACAACGCCCAGAATCCTGTCTTGCGATTTGTCTTATTTTTTAAAAAATGTTATGTTTAAAACTTAAAATAATTCTTAAAAACCAGTAGATTGGTGAATTGTTTTGAAACTTGGCAAGCTTGCAGTTGTAAATGGGGTCTACAACTGAGGTAGGTTTCTTGCAGATAGGTCATAAAATGGCTGAAGATTGAGCCTTTAAAGTTTTCCATTGTAGCCAACGGGCCAAATCTCTGCCGAATGAAACTGAATATACCCCTCCCCTTTCAGGTAACTTTCTGATAAACAGAATGTGGGGTCAGACAAAAACTGACCTAAAAACGGTATGTGGTTTGGCTTCAATGCACATGACTACTATATACACAATCTGTTTCATGCACGACGCTATTAAAATACATTACCTTTAGGCTATGCATATAAGGTCTCTAAGAATGTGTTTAGACTTGGGTCCATTGTCAAGATAACTGATTATAAATAGGTATGCAACTATAGGTATTCAAAAATATGAAATCAAAAACACTTCTGGGCCCTGCAAGAACTTGAAAGACTCCTTGCCCCTTCTTGAGTAAATCATCAAGCGTACTCTCCTTCCTTGAGGCTAGTGACAGATTAAATGGCCACACAAGCTAATGTTTAAGAATATTTTTATTAGAAAACATTTAACATAGAAACAGGTAACACAGCATCTTTGCTCAGAAATCACTGAATGTTCCATGAGTTCCTACTTGGCCACATACATCTCAGAAGGGCCAAAAAGTGGGAAGGGAATAATCTAGATTAAGTGCTGAGAGGTCAGGGCCTTGAGGAGTGAAGGCACTTGAGGGAGGCCCCAAGAAGACTGAGGAAAATGTTACTGGTTTCCCTTTAACTAGTAGCCCCAGTAATGTTTCCTGAAGAACAAATGGACTCTCTACAGCACAACTGGTCCACAGTGTCCAGCTTCACAATTTCACAAACACAAGAAAGTCCAGGAAGTAATAAAAAAACTGATTGTCATCAACAGCTAAGGCCTGAGCAAATCCCCATTCCTTTAAGACACCACCACACCAGTTGCATAGGGTGCAAAATAGCCAACCCAGTACATATTAAACAATGTTTTTGGTACAAAAATGTTTACAAACTGCTCCCTACAAAAAAGAGATAGTGCAAAGAATATATGCCAGCAGAACTGGCAATTCGGAATGGACAAAGCTTTGGTTAAACATTGAGCAGCAATAGCAGCAGCAGCAACTTTCTTGCATTGCAAGAAAAACTGCTGAGGCTCAGCTAAGAGGTAGAAGACAACTCAAACAAAATATATATACATATATATATCCCAGTGTCCCAGAGGCAAAGCGCACAGGAAGAGTGGGGATCTGATTAGGGGGGGCCCTCATTAACCACTGTAAAATAAGGCTTTAACTCTTGTATAATCTCAGGTGAATACCTGAAATAGTGCCCTCCCCCCCTTCTCCCCATCAACAGTAAGCAGCAGAGGCAGGCAGCAGATATCCCCCATCCTGTGAAGGACAGAGGATTTTCAACAAGCATAGTCTGCTTGTCAGTCCACTCCAAAAGTACCACAAAATGCGAAAGAGATGGCGGAGACGGCAACACTAAGTAAGACGAACACCAAGGACTTGTTCCAGTTCTTGTCTGCGCTGCTGAACCTGGAAAACACAAGGAGGTGACAGACATGGAGATGAGAAAGAATGATGGAGAGAAAGCACCTAGATACCTGTTTGCCCCCCCTCCCCTGAAGAACAGAGCTGCCTTTGCAATCCAAAGACAAGATCCTGCAAATCTCATTTTAAAGTTAACTTCTCATATTCTGACCCCCCCCCCCCCAACATTCCCTTCTATTTCGTTTTATTTCACAGCAGGTGAGGAATACCAAAATATAGGGAGAGAGAAATCAGAGATCGCTTGGAAAGTTGGCTATCTGTTGCCATTACTCACACTATTTGAAACTTATTTGTTGCTGTTGTCTGTTAATGGTTTAGAAAAACATTTTTTTCATTAAAAAAAACTTTGCTGTTGTGTGCCTTTTCTTGTAAGATTTGTTCAGAGGGTGTTTGCCTTTGCTGTCCTCTGAGGCTGAGTGGGTACGACTTGTTCAAGGTCCCCTTGTGGGTTTCTGAATTCTGATCTCCAGAGTCAATGCCCAAAACTCAAATCATTAACCATGCTGGGCTTCAAATTTTTATATCTTGTGTCTTATGAAGTCTATCAAAATACCTTTAAAATTGCCATAAAAGGTCACTTGGATATTTATTTATATCTTTAATTTGCATCCCAAGTACTTCCTGATATAAGCCTCAGAAAAAAAATAGTTATTAGATCAAATGCAACTTCATTTCAGTGTCGGTGATGATCACAAAGGTGATGATGAGAAACTCACTGTTGTTAGGCTTTTGATCTCTGGAAACAACTGTGGGTTCTATTACAGTTGCAATCAGCAATAAATTCAAAGGGAGAGGGGAGAAAGGGACATGAATCCATATCAAAGAAGGGGACTAGGAGAAGTCCAAAAATCAAGCAAGACTCATAGAATCATAGAATCAAAGAGTTGGAAGAGACCTCATGGGCCATCCAGTCCAACCCCCTGCCAAGAAGCAGGAATATTGCATTCAAATCACCCCTGACAGATGGCCATCCAGCCTCTGCTTAAAAGCTTCCAAAGAAGGAGCCTCCACCACACTCCGGGGCAGAGAGTTCCACTGCTGAACGGCTCTCACAGTCCAAGAGCTTTCAATCAAGGGCACTATACTAATAATGAACATCTTGCTTAGCATCCTTTCTCTGTGGCCAACTCGGTGAAAAAAAGTTGCAGGACTCAACATTTCAGAAAAAAAACCCTGTATAGGCTGTGCAAAACTAGCTGCTCCAAACCTTGGCAAAAATGTGTCTGCCAACAGCTTCCTGCATCCACGGCTGCTCATAAAACTCAACACGTCTTTCCTCTTCTGGATTGCCAACCACATCTGTGATGATCTAGGAAGAAAAAGTCAAAACATGGAAAACAATTTGGGACATGGAAGTAGATGACAATGGCAACAAATATTCAGTGTTTCAGTGGGTGGGGGAGCCTGTCAGAAAACCAATAACTGAATTGTTGCAGCAGATCAGTATATCCCAACAAAATGTGCAACAGCAGTTTGAGGCTTCCAGAAAGCTCCCAAATATAGCATAGTGTGTTCACCATATGGCGTTGTTTGTACCTCACCCTTATTTAAACACTTTACAACCAAGTGGGATAAATTAGCATTGTTCTACTTTGCTCTGTTCTACATCCAGGAGTCAAAAGATTTCAAGATTTTTTAAACAGCAGAGGATAAAGAGATACAATAGGTTGGCAAAAGATGAAGGAACATATTTTTCCTGAACTCCATAGAGGTTACATATTGAGTTCATAAATTTATTAGTGCAAAATTCTCAGTGCAAGATGCTTTTTTTAGTGTCACGAGTGACTTGAGAAACTGCAAGTCTCCTCTGGTGTGACAGAATTGGCGGTCTGCAAGGACATTGCCCAGGGGACACCAGAATGTTTTACCATCCTGTGGGAGGCTTCTCTCATGTCCCCCCATGGGAAGCTGGAGCTCACCAACAGGAGCTCACCCTGCTCCCCGGATTCGAGTGCAAGATGCTGAAACAATAGGTTTCTTCACCAGACAGATGATTTTAAAAAAGGCTTTGCTGCGCATGGAAAAATCCCACAGTTCAACTGAGTGACCTGGGAGAGCAACCTATACTTGCTAAGTATTTGCAAAGAAGGTCAGATCTGCTGCCTTGGAGTGGTGAATCTACCCTTAATTTTATGGTCACTTCTCCCGCAGATGCTCCAGGTTGAATGGTGGCTCTGCCACAGGTTCAATAGCAAGAGTGCTCATTGAACTCAATCCAACTGGAGGAAGGGTGGTGATAAAATCAAAAGGAGAGCATCTTCTGTGACAGCTGTTTTAATAGTCAACTGAGTTACAACTCTAAGATGAATGAATATGAGCAAGATATTAAAAATGTCTGCCACAATCTCTCTGCAGAGAGGCTTATGTAGAAAGCCCTTATTTCTTCCTTTTAGGAAAAAATTGAAGTCATGGTTTTAGGACCAGCTTTTGTACAGCAGGCATGACAGCACTTTGGATGTCAAATTGGACAGGAAATGGATACATGGGTTGATAATGTTTTAAATTGTTTTTAACTTACTGTTTATTTATCCTCCTAAATTACTGTTATGTTTGTATATCTGTTTGTATGTTGTGGCATCAAATTGCTGCCAGTGTAAGCCGCTCTGAGTCCCGGCCCCCCTTTGGGGGTTGAGAAGGGCGGGGTAGAAATTTTGGAAATAAATAATATTAACAATAGCTATCACCTCTCCGCTTTACATAATACCCTCACATTTTTGTTGAATTCATTTTAGGCAGAAAATGAGGAAGGAGGGAGGGCTGCCTTTCTTTCTCTAGTTTGTGCAATGGAAAGGTAATTGGGAGGGACTGCTTATCTCTTCTGTTTGTTGTCACTTCTTTTGCTCAGGGTCCTTAATAAAAAAAGGTGGCTTTCTGTACTCTTCCCACCCTTTATAAAGTGCATTCTAATTTTTTTCCTCATTTATATTTCCCCCGTATCTGTATTTGTATACATGTAGACACATGCAGACCACACCGAACTGTAATCCCTTAAATAAACAGATGATTTCTCTTTAGTTCTTTCTAGTATGTCCCTTCCATGCAATTTTAAAAGGAGAGGATAAGATTAGTTTATGCCATGCTCCTAATTTTTACCCTCAACCTATCCACAGGTCAAAGCAAACTCCAGAATTTCAGCCCTAAAAGCTGCACTTGACTTTATGCACAAGTATATATGGCAATTTGAGTTTTCAAAGTTCAGGTATTGACATTAGGCATACAGTAAACACATATAACAAGAAATTTAACTTCCAGTCATAAAAGGAAAATTGGCCCCTCAACCCAACCTTATAAGAGCTGCCACAAAAGAGTCGCAACAGAAGCCGTTACCTAGGAGCAACTCCAGAAATATTACACACACATGTATGCTGTATTTCTATATACACTATCAAGGAGAGTAAACTTCATAAGCTTACTTATGAGCTTTCTTTTGAGGAGAAGTGCTTAGGTCTATTTAAACACTCTTGTATGTTTCCCCAAAGCCTTATGTAAGCTCTTACCTTCAAATCTCTCTGCTGAGATCTGATCCATTCTTGGATAAAGTCCTGAGGATTGCTGCTGAAACTTAGCATGAAATCTCGCTGTGTCTTCAGCTGGTTGATGGACTCAATGGTTTCATGGATCTAAATGTAAGAGTTGGGGATATTCAGAAGGGTTCTCATGACTGAATAAGTTTGGCAATGCGATTCTCCCCCAACCAAAGAATGTATGAATCCATGTATAGGACAGCACACACATTACACACAGCAGACTATCCTGAAATGTAGGGGCATTGCTTTCAGCAGCTTCTGCTTTTTGAATGGGCAGGAAGTGGTAGCTAGCCCCAGAAGCAGTGTCAGTGTTTACCTCTTTCCAAGGATTTTTTTTATCATGTCAGAAGCGACTTAAGAAACTGTTAGTCGCATCCGGTGTGAGAAAACTGGCCATCTGTACGGACGTTGCTCAGGAGATGCCCAGATGTGTTACCATCCTGTGTGAGGCTTCTCTCATGTCCCCGCATGGGAAGCTGGAGCTGACAGACAGGAGCTCACTCCATCTTGCGGATTCGAACCACCGAGCTTCAGGTCAGCAGTTCAGCTGGCACAAGGGTTTAACCTATTGCACCACCACAGCTTCTCTTTCCATGGAATGATCCAACTTATCTGAGGGTTATATATAAAAATCCCTAATTTTGCTCCCGAAACCTGCTCCTGACTTATACATGTGGTCAATCTATATGCAAATATATATGGCAATTTCCAGGCCTTCAGGCACAGCTCTCCAGAACATCCTAGTTCCAGATACTTTTATTATAGTTTGTCCTTTGAACAGAATAAACTATACAACAAAAGAACTCTGTGATCTAAGGATAGCTCCCATTATTACAGTAAGACAACCTTTTTGAAAAATTAGATTAGCATAGGGGTCCTCAAACGAAGGCCCGGGGGCTGGATACGGCCCTCCAAGGTCATTTACCCGGCCCTTGCTCAAGGTCAACCTAAACCTGAAACGACTTGAAAGCACACAACAACAATCCTATCTCATCAGCCAAAAGCAGGCCCACACTTCCCATTGAAATACTAATAAGTTTATATTTGTTAAAATTGTGCTTCATTTTAATTATTGTATTGTTTTAGTGTTTTTTGCACTACAAATAAGATATGTGCAGTGTGCATAGGAATTCATTCATGTTTTTTTCACATTATGATCCGGCCCTCCAACAGTTTGAGGGACTGTGACCTGGCCCTCTGCTTAAAAAGTTTGAGGACCCCTGGATCAGCATGCCTGCTGATCACAGATCATACAATCTGTTTCCAGAGGTATCATTGAAAAGGATATGGGAGAGCAAAACAAGATTTTCTACACAATTCTCTAGACAATTTCAACAGAAAGGATAAAACCATGAAAATGAACAAAATCTGGCTACCAGTTTTAAAAAAACTTCTAAAATCAGGACAGTGAATAAAGAACAATACCCTGAAAACAGGGGAATTCCAGACAGGAATCAATCAGGGCCTTCCAACAAAGGATTACCCAAGCAGGAATCAGCCAGGTCTTGAAACTGCAATGCTAATCAGGCCCCATTCCTGGTCCTGCCCTCTTCACAGGCGCAAATGGTGGGGACGAGGGACAGGGCCTTCTTAGTGGTGGCCCCTCGGCTCTGGAACTCCCTAGGGATAGTAAATCAACCCTCCCCCCTCAACTTTCCGTAAAAAAGTTAAAAAGTGGCTATTTGAACAAGCCTTTGAAATCTAGTGCAATACACATACACAGAATTATGTGAATTTGAATATTGGAACCGCTCAGACTGATTTTGAACAACGAGGCTAACAATTAAGGTATTGGTTTTATATGTTTTTCAAAGGTCTTATTGTATGTACTTTTTAATTCTGTTTCAAATGTGGTTTTAAGGAGACTAATTACAACATTCACACTTGCCTTCAACAGACAAAAGTTCTTTCTCCAACCCTGGACCGTCAACAGATAGATAAACCTCTCTTGCCTAGTTTCCAATATACTTCACAACCTCTCAGGATGCCTGCCATAGATGTGAGGAGAGAATGCTTCTGGAACATGGCCATATTGTCCAGAAAACTCACAGCAACTCAAAATAGAAGATGTTTATGGGATCTGGATTGAACTGTCTCAGAAGTGAGATGATCTGTTGCTGCCACTGTTTTTATTTCATCAGAGCATTCCTTTTTCTCTGCTTCCCACAATCATAATAACGGAAAACATGATTTGATTCTTCCCCTAACCCGTCCCAACTGTCAAGGTGCTGACAATTCACATTCCAAATTGTGATGTATTCTATTTAATACCATCCCAGTTCCTAGCTCTACTGCTCACAGATAAGAGAGATATATTCATACAGAGTTTTAATATTATGGAGGCTAGGCCCCATGCAGCATGGCACTCAATCCTTCATTCCCCTGCAAACCTAATTTTGCCTACTTTGAAAAGCAATACTGCTTTTCCAACCTCTAACAAAAACAAAACAAAACAGAAATTCATACTATGCAAACCAAGATCTGCACATACATAACATACATTAAGTATTTCTTACACATTTGCTGTATTTGCATTTTTAAATACAAATTTAGGATTCCTAAAGACTAAAATTCCAGGATGGCAAATCTAAGAAGGATAGTCAGACAGAAGTCTCAATGCTTTCAAGTTAACCTAAAAGTGTAGCATCCCTCATGTCCTAACATTTTCTAGTGCCCTTAGAGCTCAAGGGGAAATGTGCCCAGCTATCATCACTCAAACTACGTAGCCATACAAACTATGAAAGGCAGCATGCTCAAATCTATTTTCTGCTTCATGGTTGGCAGAATCCTACCTTAACATCCAAAGAGGAAATTTCCTGCTGGTTAGTGGTGGAGGCCAAAAAGTTGCTCATTTGGGCTTTCAAAGGATCATCCACTTCCACATCAATGTCATAGCAGGCTGTCTTTTTCTGGTCATTAGGATCCACACTGAAGAGAGGAAAACAGGAAACTAGGATGGAAGGCTAAGAAGATATGCCTCTCTGGGAGATACGTCGTCACCATCCTGCCCCAAACATGAGGGGGCAGGCTGATTAACGTGTACTCTCTCATAATGTCTGCTGTGCCAGCCCTACCTGATCACATGGTTGATCACAATGGGATCTGGATGCTGCAGGAGCCCTGCCAGCTTCAGTGGGATCTCAGAGAATCGCATCCGGATGCAGTTAAAGATCTAGAATGTAGAAAGAGGGAGAAAAAAAACCATGGGAGCAAGTATGAATGATGTGTTTTAAAGAAACTATTGCTAGAGTATGCTTACTAGTTTAAACGTAAGTAGTCTCTCAGTTGAGGAAAACAACAGTGAAACATCATGTGGGAAGACCCTATAGGGTCAATCTCTGTAACTCCTTCCTCAGAAAAGTTAGACGGTCACCTCCTTTATTATTTTTCCACATTCAAGTGAAGGCCTTTGATTTTTTTTTTCAGGGAAATAGGTCTTATATATGCTATTTTTATTTGATGTTTTAATCATTTGTTTTAATTGTTTTGAACTTATTTTTTTTATAGTTTAAGCATTTTTAATTTGTTTGTGCTGTTAATTTAAACTAAACTATTGGCTTTAATTAGAATCTGCCTTGAGTCCCAGATAAGAACAGGTTGCTTACCTGTAACTGTATTTCTTCCGAGTTGTCACCTGTAATTGCACACAGCTGAGTAATCTGCACCTGTGCAGAGCAGGCAAACTTCGGCCCTCTAGGTGGTTTCGATTACAACTCCCACAATTCCTAACAGCAGGTAGGTGTTGAAGTCCAAAACACCTGGAGAGTCTAAATTTGCCCATGCCTGTTATAGAATCACTGGGCAGAAATGTTTCGGTGGCAACCCCACCCACCATCCCGGGGCTATAAAAGGCCCAGTTACCACTGACACCCCTCAGGTCCTAAGCCACAGCTACAGCCTGTAATCAGATCTGAGGTGGCATGACCCCTATGTGGGAAGGATGGGCTGCCTAGTGATTCTAGAAGGTTCCAAACAGTGTTCTGCACAGATACAGATTATCCAGCTGTGTGATTCATAGAGACCATGAAGAAGTAATATAAATATCAATAATAATAATAATAATAATAATAATAATAATAATAATAATAATTTTTACCCAACTTTCCTTATGATTGGAGGTGGGGGATAACATATTTAAAACACATCATTATAAATACATATATTAAGACACATTTCTAAGAAATACAAATATTAAAATGCAGTAGACACAAGACTTTAGGTTTAAAAATCATACTTAAAATTGACTGAGTAGACTTACTACTACCATTAATATTATTATTGCTGCTGCTTCTGCTCCCACTCATGGGAGAAGAGAAGAAAGGAGAATAGTAGCAGGATGGTGTATAATAAGGATGGGCAATCTTTTACCCGTCCATGTGCTTACAATTCCCATAATCTCTGCACAGCATGGTCAGTGGTGCACGGCATGGTCAATGGATCTACAGTCCAAAAAATCTGTCTGACTAAAAGTTTCATACCCCTATGATACAACCTCCAGAGAAAATCATAATATTATGTAATTTATTTTTACTTCCATGACACAGGTTTACAAATGAAAGGTAGAAAAGGACATGAGACAGAGGAACTAGTTAACAACAAGCAGGGAATAGGACCTACAGGAAACAGAATTGTGCGGACTACAGAAAACCAAGACCCTTTCCACACTGCCCCTATATTCCAGGATCTGATCCCATATTATCTTCTTATCCCACATTATCTGGCAGTGGAAACTCATATAATCCATTTTAAAGCAAATAAACTGGGATCAGATCCCCTACTTTAGACCCAAATTTCACAAGACCTTACTCATATGCAAAATGTGGCTATTCTTGAAAAGCAAATGATTAAAAACATGTTGGTCTTTCCACATCCATTGCTAATATATGTGTATTACACATGTGGGTATGTATATAATGTGTATGCATAATTTGTAATTTCTGTTATTACAAATCATACACATATTACATAAAGTGGGAGTGGGGGGTGAGAAAGCAGGACTTACTGACCTGGCGGAAGTAGCGATTGCAGTTGATATATTCTTTCTCATGGTTGTCCTGTAGCTTGTTGTGTTTGATGTAGAGCCACAAGGCCTGCATGATGCTGGCACGAGTCTGAGTGTGGACTCCCAGCAGGCGAGCCAGGCGGGGGTCCAGCTTGTACTGTGGGGGCTGCAAAAGCAATACAGCCAGTGAATGTAACTGTGAGGTGGGGACATCCCTTATCTCAACCAATCCAAGTGCTGTAACCTATTTCCAGCTCTCAAAATGGAATGTGGAATGGGATCTACTTGAGAGAGGAAAAGACTATCTCATAGTATGAAAAGTGACTTTTTAAAGAATTACTTATTAAGAATGTTGGAGGTAGGAGGACAAAGAAAACCTATTCACTCTTGTTATTAATCACCATGTTAAACCTGTAATCTATGGTATTACTCATTACATTTCATTACTCTTATTGCACTAAAATTTAAGTTTAGTAAGAGAATCCTTGAAAAATCTCATTCAAGATAATTCAGCACCAATTTCTATCATTGGCTCATTGTTTCCTGTATCTTTGCAAATCTAATGGCACAAACATATTTTCTCATCTCACTGAAATGACAGGATCCAAGTTCTGCCCAAAAAAAGATGAATTATAACCAGATATTTATTCCTCATTTCATGACCAGGCTTTAGCTGGCGGAAAGCCACAAAGTTTGTGATATAGAAAGAAACCTCTGGCCAAATCTTCTCCTCCCTTCCTAAAACAGGGTTGTCATATGAAATGATGTGACCAAGAGACTGATAATTCAGGACATATTCTGTTCTTAGCAAGAAGTAGGCCAAGTTTCCTCTTACCTGGTGATCCAGCATGAGCAGCAAAGTACATTTCACATTGACATCACCTGGACGCTTAACTTGAAACCCATCTGTTTCTTGGGTTGTGGGCAATCTGTGCCACTTTGGGAGAAAAGTAATATAAGACAGGTGTCTTTAGGGCAGGAAATATCTGGGGTACAATTTATTCATTCAATTGTGCATCATTTTATGTTTTAAAGCTCAGTTTTCAAATTATTGTTCTAGTCTTGCTCTTACAGAAATAAGCAATGTGAAACAAGCTCCAGAAATATCAAAATTTTCATTTCATTAAAGTGACTTTAACAATAAGATTTCCATAGAACAGATATGGGCAATAGATCACCCAACTCTGCCCATCCTGTGCCCGAGATCTGGCATTTTAGGGGCATAATTTGAAGTGCAATGGTGTTACAAAGTAAGTATGCTGAAGAATTTGCAAAGAGAAGACAATTCATTGCTACTCAATAAATCTATAAACATTTTCAGTGAAATAGTTGAGGCTGCCTACTAAGTCAAAAATGTTAGCAGAGGTGCACCTATGCAGTGAAGGAGTTTTACACATGCATTATACATGCACAATAAGACACTTTAAAATGTAAATATTTCATTATATATCTAGACTTGTTAAATGGTAGCAGTTAAGATTATGTTAAAAGGTTATCTAACAATACTGCCAAACAATTTCTACTAACCACAATCTGACCCTACAGCCATTGGGTAAATATTGGTTTGGACAAAGAGACCCAACAGCCTAGATCCCAAGGGAGCCCAGAAGCTACTATATCATACAGCTTTGCTGCAAAAATTATAGAGCCCAGAAGTCATGCAGGATTTACATATAATGGAAAATGACACAGAAATAAGATTAATTCAGTCATGAGGCTAATCGATGGTTTCTCCTAAAACAAATTCACATCTCTTCTCTTACCTTTCTTCTAGAAGCTGTTCTTTAACCATCACAATTCCTGCTCCTGACAAATAATCTGCTAGCAAGTAACTCCAGCTTCTACCATTAATTCCTTCTGCTCAGAAAACTGTTTGCAGTACCAATCCTATAACTCAACACTCAATTCGCAGACAAGCAGAGTTCAGCACACTACCAGGTTACAAAGACCTTCCAAAGCATTGTAATGAAATGTTTAACTACTTTGAGTTGCTGCTTAGTCAGCAAACACAGCTATGCGCCAGGGCACCTACCTCTACCAGGTGGTTGTCTGGACCATACAATTCCTTGTCCAGCTCGATGACCAAGCTCTTAAAAAAGGATGAGAATTTCCTCTTCTGCTTGCTTGGCTGAGATAGAAAAATAGAAAAAACACTAAGCCCTGCTTTGCCCACAAGAACTCAGCATCTTGGACAAGTATATATAAAAATTAGGGACAAGCATGTAGTGTAATTTCTAGAAATCACTTTGAACTTTTTTTTTTGAAACAATACCATCATTTTTAATATTTATACAGCATTTTAATTAAGCAGAGTTATTTATTTATTCTTTATTTATGATATTTATACCCCACCCTGAAGGAGACTCAAAGCAACTTATAAGTAAGCAATAATTAAATGCCGAATATACAGATGTACAAATAAAACAAACATATGCATTAAAACATAGAGTTAAAAAACATCTAAACGTTAAAACCAAATATTAAAACCAGTTCTTCCATCTATTTGTCTCATAAGAAAAGTTTTGGAAGAGCAAAAGAGTTAAATAGGGACTCAGGGCGGCTTACAAGTGGGACCAAGCCCAACACAACAAAGTTTACAAATTAAAATCACATTTAAAAAATATAATACACATATAACAATCTGATTAAAACAACTGAAAACAGAAGAATATAAAAATGACCATTAAAATTAAACAAAACAAACCTCCAGAACCAGGGAAAAGGTGGCCAAGTTCGAAAATTGGCGAGTGCTGTGAATGGGCTTGTGAAAAAAAGCAGACTATAGGGGTAGGGGTAGGGGAAAGTGCTGAGTTCACTGTACTGGTCAAAGTATGTATATATGTTTGTGTGTATGTATGTTTGATCCACCAAGACTCCTACATAGCTTAATGGATCTAGACCTCTCATGAGCCAACAAAAAATACTGGTGCAGTTTTAGAGGGCTGATAGATGATGATGGGAGCTATAGTCCAGCCATATCCAGAGAACCTTCTGAATTCCACCTACAATGGATCTGAACTAGACTTGGAACATATATACTCTTCATGATCCAACTTAAAAAACTGGTGGGTGGGGTAATGATAAAAGTGTTCAGCTACATCCAAAGAGCTCCGTGATTCCCACCCATAACCGAGGCCCAGCTTTCCTCCTAACCAGTCAGATAGATCAGTCTGTTTGACAGGCTATATCTCCCAACAGACTTATCCTTTTGCTAGGTTGGCTGGGGATGATAGGAGTTGCAACCTGATAAGAAGAAAGAGCTATTTGACCTGTCAGAAGGAGAGCTGTGAGTTGTATCTCAGTCAAATCTGGGGCTCATGGGATTTGAATACCTGCCATATTTGGGGCTAATGGGAGTTGCAACCAACCAAATCTGCAGCTGATGGGAATTGTAGTTGCAAACTGGCCAGGTCTTGGGATAATGACATTTACAGCCTATCATAGGTACCTTTTTAAAAAGATATGCATGCATTTTCTAATGGCACCATTCATAATATCGAAAAGCAAACATTGAGTATCTCTGATAAATAGCATCACAAAATGTCTAACCTGAGCTATGCTAGATAAAATATGCTAGTATAAATATAAAGGGGAGAAGTCAAGAGCCGAGGAAAGACAACTGGTCAGCTGAATGAGGCAAATGGCTGCCCTGCACAAAATATCCAAGGAAACCTGTTATAACCATTTTCCATTTACCACACAGGTACTTATCAACAAGAATGTTTCAGTCTTACATCATCCAAGAGCTTCCCTTCCACACGAAGCTCCCACGAGGCGATGCGTTCACCACCTTCAGATTCTTCCTTGGCAGGTGTAAAAGTGTTTGAAATGTAAATCCGCAGTTTCCGCTTTTGCTGAAGAATATGAGAAAAACATTAATCAGGAACAGAATAGAATAAATTCAAACACATACTGATAATCGCAGTCACACTGTCTCAGGAAACCTGAAGGCTTCACTAATTCTATTTCTTTGCTTACTGTCAAAGGTTTCTTGATTGCCTCCTGGATCTCCATCCTCTTGCGAGCAATGGTCTGGTCCAGCTTGCGTTCAAAGGCCAGTAAATCCATGTAGGCCTGAGACTCTGGAACCAGCTCACGAATCTATGAACACAACAATAATCTATCAGGCAAATCTTAATGGGTTCAAAACAGGAAAATTGCCATCTGGATGAGGGAATTCCAGAACTTGTAGTACAAAAAATAATGTTTCCAAGATGAGACCATATGTCATACTTGACACTGGAATGGGCAACTACGGAAAAATAGGCTATCACATTAGTCCCCCAGGAGACTTTTGAGGACTACACATCTCTACTGTATCTGCCTCTGCAGAAAAATAATAATCAAATTTTCCCTCTCTAGGGAGCATGAGGGGAATTTTTACCATGTTTAGGGGCTTTCATGGGCCATTTTTCGCATACATGGGCCTTTTCTTTAAAAACAATAGGAGGTGATCAGAAGTCATTTCCTATTCAGTTCCTGGTTTTTTAAAAAAAAGTCTCTTCAGAGTCTAAACCGATCTGGAAAGTGCAAAATTTGGTGGAAATTAGCCCCTTGTTCTCACAGTGGACATTTAGGGACATTTCAGAGTAACTAATTTCTGAATAATTCTACCAAACATGTTGGAAATGCATTTCACGCTTACTCAAAGTAGGGGGCAATCTGAAGGGAAAAATGAATTGTTTTTGCACACAAAAATGCCTCTTTAAAATTCCCTGGAAACCTGAAAACAGCCCTGGGGAAGTGGGGTCTTCATTCAGCCCATGCATCACTCTTTCCAACAAATGAGTCCAGTCCCCTTCCCTTTAGTGCAGAGAGCTCTCCTGGAAAAAGTACTTACTCTTTGTGGTAGGACCTTGTCTGCCATCTTCCGCCTTTTGAACCTGCAACAATTATGTAGAGGAGTTAAGCTCTTAAGGAAAAAAGCAATCTAGAAGCCCTGGCCCTTGACTGTAAAGCCCAAATTCTACACATGTAACATGTACATGTAACATGTAACAACAGACTGGTTCAAGATTGGGAAAGGCGTACGGCAAGGCTGCATCCTCTCACCCAACCTTTTTAACTTGTATGCAGAACACATCATGCGATGTGCAGGGCTGGATGAATGCAAAGCTGGGGTGAAAATTGCTGGAAGAAACATTAACAACCGCAGATATGCAGATGACACCACTCTGATGGCCGAAAGCGAGGAGGAGCTGAGGAGCCTTCTAATCAAGGTGAAAGAAGAAAGCGCAAAAGCCGGGTTGCAGCTAAACGTCAAAAAACCAAGATTATGGCAACAAGAATGATTGACAACTGGAAAATAGAGGGAGAAAATGTGGAGGCCGTGACAGACTTTGTATTTCTAGGTGCAAAGATTACTGCAGATGCAGACTGTGGCCAGGAAATCAGAAGACGTTTACTTCTTGGGAGAAGATCAATGTCCAATCTCGATAAAATAGTGAAAAGTAGAGACATCACACTGGCAATGAAGATCCGCATAGTAAAAGCAATGGTATTCCCCGTAGTAATCTACAGATGTGAGAGCTGGACCATAGGGAAGGCTGAGCAAAGGAAGATAGATGCTTTTGAACTGTGGTGTTGGAGGAAAGTTCTGAGAGTGCCTTGGACTGCGAGAAGATCCAACCAGTCCATCCTCCAGGAAATAAAGCCCGACTGCTCATTGGAGGGAAGGATATTAGAGACAAAGATGAAGTACTTTGGTCACATCATGAGAAGAGAGAAGAGAATTATGCTGGGGAAAGTGGAAGGCAAAAGGAAGAGGGGCCGACCAAGGGCAAGATGGATGGATGGCATCCTTGAAGTGACTGGACTGACCTTGAGGGAGCTGGGGGTGTGGTAACGGCCGACAGGGAGCTCTGGCGTGGGCTGGTCCATGAGGTCACGAAGAGTCGGAGACGTCT